TTTGAGGGCCGTCCACGTCTGCTCGGTTCGATCCCGGACAATGCTGCGGCCATCATAGACGGTATGTTGCCCTGCGAACTTGGTGGTCAGGCCATGGCTGAAATTATCTACGGCGACGTGAACCCCAGCGGCAAACTGCCGATCACGTACCCGAAGGACCCGGCCAACACCGCCATCCCCTACAACCACCGCGTCACCACGCGTTGCATGTGGGACAACTGCTGGATGCAATGGGACTTTGGTGCTGGTCTCAGCTACACGAAGTTTAACTACTCCTCTGTCACGCTCGACAAAACTACCATCGCCAATGCCGACGATACGCTTACCGCCACCGCCACCATGACGAACACCGGGTCGCGAGCTGGCAAGGAGACGGTCATGCTGTTCTTGATCCAACCGTTCCGCAAGATCTCGGTGCCGGAGATGAAGATGCTCAAGAAATTCAAGAAGATTGAGCTACAGGCGGGCGAATCCATGGACGTGTCGTTCTCACTGTCGGAAGAGGATTGGGGTGTGTACAAGCCGGAAATCGGCAGTGGACTGAAACGTGTTGTGGAGGACAGCAAGTATGTTGTGGCTGTGAAGCCGGACACGTGGTGCAATGTGTATGGGGAGAACATCACGAACCCATTGTGCGCGGAGTTTACTATCGACACGAGCAGCGGTGCTGGCACTGTCAGCGTCGGCGTTCAGCTGTAACACGAAAAAGAAGCATTCGTCGGATTTCAGGCGAGAGAGAGAGAGAGAGAGAGTACGCGAATAAAACGGCCGTTGGATGGTATTCAGACGAAAAAAACCAATAGAGTTTTGATGGGATTTTTTCGTCTGAATGCCATCCAACGTTCATTTGGATTATTCGAAACCCAAATCAAAAGAGTCAAATTTTGGGTCGTTATAAAATATGCCATCCTGGCCAATCAGATCTCTCAGTTCTACTGGGCTTTGATATTTTAAAAAGAATTGTTTTGCGAATTCTGAAACAGCAATTGTTTATTTTAATGTAGTAAATTAAATGTAAAGTAATTAATTGTTATTAATTATGAAAACATTATTAAACGAGTTTATCGATTAACTTTGATTTTTATTATATTTAATTACTTACCAAAACCAAAAACTGCTCAGTACCATATACATGTTTTACAGTAGTAGTATACTATTGTAAAAAAAAATTCGTATTTCGTAGTTCTGAAATTAATACTTGTCGTCTATACATACAGTATATATGCCACTGTCGAAATACTCACTACGTTAACAACTTCTTAGATGATTCTTCTATTACGATGAGTCATATTGCGCCTTATCTCGAGTGCTAGACGACATGATTATGGAGAATTCATCGTAAATTGTGCCAGTTGCGCTCTCAATCATCGTCAGAGTGAGGTTCGTCGGAGTTACCGACAACTTCGTGATGCAGTAGTGCGTGTTATCCATCAGCACAAGCCAATCGGGAGACGGTGGGTTCTCGAACTTAAACATACCTTCTGGACCTCCAGCGGACCCCGCTATTACATACACGGGGGCCTGAGGGTTTTCATACGTGTTGGTATCGTTTGATACGCCATCCATAACAGCGCTACTGTTTGCTGTCGGGTAATGCCGTTCGTACGCATGAACGTGGCCCTGTAGCACGAGGTCCACCTTGTACTTGATGAAGAGCTCTTCAAAAGCTGCTTGCACATTCAGCGCCTCGTAATCGTTGTTGGGTACACCGTTGGCATCGCAGGAGCGAATCGTATACATTGGTCGATGCATACCAACAATAATCCATGGTACGTTGTCTCGGTTGGCATCCGCAGCCTTCAGATCGGCTTCAAGCCAAGCCAACTGGTCGCCAAAGTCGCCATAGACTCTATTTGTGTGGTAAGCATTGCTCGGGGCGTTCGGGTAGTCTGTCTCACTCGAAATCGAAGTGAAGTGAGCGGATCCGTACTCAAAGGAATGCCACATATTCAGCACACCACCGCTCTCTGGAGACGGCATTCGGAACCGCGAGTTAAACGCCGAATAGTTACCGAGTTGGTCTTTCTTGCTCTTCGAAAGTAGACACGTAGGTGAGTGGCATTCGGCCTCGTGATTCCCTACAACCACCATATACGCAACTTGACGCATTACGTTTGTCATCGAGTTCATGAACTTGTTGTACACTTGTTCGTAGTAGAATCCAAACACGTTTTTTGCTGTGAGGAATGCGTTGTCTGCATAGGCCACGTCGCCCACGTGGTAGATGAAGTCCACTTCGTCCACAATACTGTTCACGTACTTATTAGAGGCCACAGAATTGTCGTCAACACCCAGATCACCGTACACAGCGATTGTGAACGGACTCTTATCGCCACTGGCGCGTGCCGTCGTGAACGAGCTGACTCCGCTTTGGAAATGTTTGTTATCTGCGGTGCCGACCTTGTAAAAGTACGCCGTGTTGGGCTTCAACCCGTCCACAGCTGCGTGGTAACTGTACAATTCGTAGTCTTTGTCCTTATAGTAAGATTTGGTCTCAATCTCAACATTGGTCGCCTTCTTAAGCTTTGATTTAGTACGACCAAGCCATATCATGGGGTCCTTGTCGAGCACGAAAGTCGTCCAAGAGATGGTCATACCCGTGCCTGCTTCTTCTCCAGCGAACGCCAAGTGAAGCTGCTGCGGTACTCTGGTTGCGTTGCTTGTGTCACTCACTCGGCACGCTTGTGACGGAGTAACGTCTCCAAACTGGTACTGCAGCGAGCATGAATCTTCCGGCATACAGCTCAATGAAGACCATTCATACACACACTTGTCGTCGTCCACAGCACTACCAGATACGGCCGATTTGTAGCCGTCACTGAAGAAATGCTTTACCTTGTCCATGAAGCCATAGGCCGAGACTTCCGAGCACAACGCAGCTGAGATCACCAAGTGAACTAATAGTCGCATGGTCTGATGGGAATCGCAAAACAACAAGTGGTATGTGTCACGCCTGGAAATACTTACCGGATGATGGCTGTGTACAGAAGTAACAGACTCTGTTGCACTGCAAATTCACCATCCTGATCTCCATCCTCGACGACTCAACAACTACCATAATATTTGTGGCATAAATTATGGCCAATAATTTGGAATCTGAAAGATTCTGAATCAGGAGATATGTATGCTATCTGTACAATCACGTGAGACTTGCAAATAATTGTGAAAATGAAGTGAGTGAACAATAAAGTAACCAGTTTGTCAGTGGAGGTCTTCGATTGAGGCACGGTAGCCGGATCGCATCATAGTCTGGCCCAGCGACCATCATGAGCCACGGCGACTGTTACTCATTTGTACCCGCTGGAACATCAAAAATGCATTATGACTACTTAGACTACTTCACAGTTTGCGTTTGACTTGCTGACGCTGCTTTAATGATAGAGAACTCGTCGTGTACCGTTCCAGTGGCAGCCTCGATCATCGTAATTGTCAGGTTCGTCGGAGACGCAGTAAGTTTCGTGATACCGTAGTGTTCGTTGTCCATCAGAGCCAACCACTTCGGAGACGGAGGGTTCTTGAATGGGTACAGACCTTCCGAGTTGCCAGCAATGCCGGCAATGACATGTACAGGTGCCTTTGGATTCGTGTACGTCTTTCCATCCTTCGATACGCCGTGCATGATTGCCTTACTATCTGCCGTCGGGTAGTGGCGCTCGTAAGCATGCACGTGTCCCTGGTACACCAGATCCACCTTGTACTTGATGAACAGCTTCTCAAACGCCTTCTGCACCTTCAAGGACTCGTACTCGTCATTTGGTACACCGTTGGCGTCGCAGGAGCGAAGGGTATATAGAGGTCGATGCATACCAATAATAATCCAGGGCACGTTGGCTCGGTTGGCATGAGCAGCCTTCAGATCGGCTTCGAGCCACGCGAGTTGGTTACCAAAGTTACCGTATGTACGTTTGGTGTAGTACGCATTCTTCGGTGCGTTGGGGAAGTCCGTTTCGGACGAGATGGTCGTGAAGTGCACCGAGGCGTAGTCGAACGAATACCACATGTTCAATACACCACCGCTCTCGGGCGACGGCATCCGGAAGCGAGAGTTGTAGGCAGAATAGTTGCCAAGTTGGTCTTTCTTACTGTCAGATAGTAGACACGTCGGCGAGTGGCACTCGGACTCGTGATTGCCCACCACAACCATGTAGGCCATGTGACGCATCACGTTGGTCAGGGAGTTCATGAACTTGTTGATGATTTCTTCATAGAAGAAGCCGAACGCCGTCTTGGCGGTCAGGAAGTCGTTATCGGCGTAGGAAATGTCGCCCAGGTGGTAGATGAAGTCCACTTTATCCACCAGATCGTTGACGTATTTGTTAGAGTCCACCGAGTTAGCTTCGGTTCCCATATCTCCATACACAGCCACAACGAACGGGCTCTCGTCGCCAGCCGCGCGTGCTGTCTTGAATGAGCTAACGGAGCTCTGGAACTTCTTCTCAGTGGCACTACCCACTTTGTAGAAGTATTCCGTGTAGGGCTCAAGGCCGCTGACAACAGCGTGGTAGCTGTACAGCTCGTACTTCTCGTCCTTGTAGTATGACTTGGTCTCGATCTTGGCGTCCTTTACTAGAGCGACTTTAGCCTCGCTGGTGCCGATCCATACGGCCGGAGACTCCTCCAGTGCGAACGAAGTCCAGGAGATCGCCATGCCCGTACCGGCTTCCTCGCCGGCGAAAGCCAAGTGGAATTGCTGCGGCACTTTTGTGTGATCGCCGTTGTCCGTCACACGGCACGCCTGGGACGGCGTGACGTCACCGAACTGGTACTGAATCGAGCATTTGTCTTCGGGCTGGCAGCTCAGAGAAGACCACTCGTACACACACGTTCTGTCGTCCGTGTTCGTTTGCGTGGCTTGTTTGGTTCCTTCAACTGATCCAGTGGCGTCGTCGTCGCTGAAGAAATTCTTAGCCATAGATTTGAAATCGATGGCCGTCGCGACGGAGCACACGCCGCTCGCGATCACCGCTAGCTTGAACGCTACGGGGGCGCGCATTTCAACAACTTCGGTCGTCGACTCGGTGTCGTCTTGGCAAAAGCGGGAATGGCGGTCCGTCCTTGGTTGATTACCGTGGGGCAGGGGTCCCATCCAAGCAGAAATCCCCGCAACTTCCATGTTCCAACATGCTACTCCCCATGATTAAAACACACTCCAAATGGGAACAATTCCGCATTAGAAATGGCGACCAACAGGATGGTGGAGCAACGAATTGGGAGATGCTCTCGGTCGTCTGGACAATTCTCGCACTGAGTGAGAACAAGTCGAACACAGCGGATACAGTACATAACTTTGAGGTTGAAATGCAGTTCAGCACCTCGTGGACCGACTCTTTGCTGTTTCTATTCGCTACATCTCTAACTGGACGTGCATCTTGGATGAGGAACATTGAAGCTGAAAATATCGATTGAGTTGTGTTCGTGATTCAAGCGTGCTGTCCTTCGTTGAGGAAAGACTTGATCGTGAGATTCGTCCTACACTGGAAATTCTCTGGTGAAAACTACGTGATTCCTTCTTGATCGTAATCTTGCCCAGCTCCGTTTTGCTTGCATCGTTCCCTTGTTGTCGTTCGACATGCACCCAGTGTGTACTAATTAATACACACATGTACCTAAAAGCACCAGTAGCAGCAACAATTCGTCGAGTGTGCTCGTTTTGAAGTGGACAGTAATCCTCTGGTTACGCTCAACTCGTAAACCATCCTTGTTGTGCTTGTTGCAGCTTGATCAAGCTGCTTGGCATGAGTGTTTCAACGTGTACTAATACAACATGTGTTACAGCACGATTCACCATGGATTTCATCCGTTTCCTGCTGTGCAAAAGATAGCGTGGCATTGTGTTGATGCCCGTTCTGGTTCCGTGGCTTTAGTGAAGTTGTTTATTTCCCGCGATATCGACAGCAAGTTACTGTACTTGGTGTCAGAATATGTAGACATCTATCCTTTTTCCATCTCTGCAGAGTTTTCGCCAACGACTCTTTCTAGTGCATCTAATATGGAATTCTCATTCGTCTTGAGAAGCATCCCCTCGTTCTTTGATGATCGAAAACTTATCGCACACAGTTCCGGTGACACTCTCAACCGTTGTGAGTGTGATATTCGTCGGGGTAACTGACATCATGGTGATGGCGTAGTGCTGGTTGTCCATCAAGGCATGCCACTTCGGAGACTTTGGATGTTTATATTTGTACAAACCTTCGGGGCCTCCCGCCGAGCCAGAAACCATGTACACCGGCGCCTTTGGATTGGTATACGTCGCATCGTCTTTGGAAACACCGTCCATGACGGCGCTACCCTTCGCCGTCGGGTATTGACGCTCATACGCATGGACATGACCCTGTAGAACCAGATCCACTTTGTACTTGATGAACAGTTCCTCGAAAGCCTTTTGCACGTTCATTGCCTCAAAATCGTTGTTAGGTTTGTCATCTACGTCGCATGAACGAATCGTGTACATCGGTCGATGCATCCCGACAACAATCCACGGGACCTGGTCACGATTAGCGTCCGCAGCCTTGAGATCAGCCTCAAGCCAGGTTAATTGATCGCCGAAACGGCCGTATACCCGGTGTGTGTGGTACGCGTTGCTCGGTGCATTGGGATAATCTGTCTCGGACGAGACTGTGGTGAAGTGAACGGACGCATACTCGTAGGAATACCACATATTTTGCACACCTCCGCTCTCTGGTGATGGCATTCTGAAGCGTGCGTTGAATGCCGAGTAATTGCCGAGTTGATTCAGCTTTTCGTTTGAGAGAAGGCAGGCCGGAGAATGGCACTCCGCCTCGTGGTTACCGACCAGTACCATGTACGCCATTCGCCGCATGATGTTGGTCATGGAATTCATAAATTTGTTGTACATTTGTTCGTAGAAAAACCCAAAAGCGGTTTTAGCTGAAAGGAAGGCGTCATCGGCATACGAGACATCCCCGAGGTGATAAACGAAGTCTATCTTACCCACCAGTGTGTTCACGTACTTGTTGGTCTCAACAGCGTTATCATCGGCCCCCATATCACCGTACACAACGATCGTGAATGGACTTTTGTCGCCACTTTTGCGAGCTGTTGTGAACGAGCTCACAGCACTCTGAAACTTGGTTTCACTGCCGCTACCGACCTTGTAGAAGTACTCTTTGTTGGGTTTCAGACCTCCCACAACTGCGTGGTAGCTGTAGAGTTCGTAGTGGTCGTCCTTGTAGTATGACTTGGTTTCAATCGTCGCATCCTTCACTATAGTAAGTTTGCTCTCACTCGTCCCAATCCACACTGCCGGTTTTTTTTCTAATGCAAACGTTGTCCACGAAATCGTCATGCCCGTTCCAGCTACTTTGCCAGCAAATGCCAAGTGGAATTGCTGAGGAATTCTGGTCGAGTCGCTTGTAGAGCTCACGCGGCATGCGTCTGATGGCGTGACGTCACCAAAATGGTATTGGATGGAGCATGAGGCCTCAGGCTTACAAGTCAGTGAAGACCAGTGATATACACACGCGCTGTCGTCCACCGCACTACTTGAAGACTCAGAGCTGGCATCCTGGCGGAATAAGTTCTTCACCTTGTCCAAAACGCCACTGGGGTTGGCTGAAGTTGCAATAAAGCACAGGCTCAGAACTACTGCCAGTCTTCCAACTAATTGCGTGCGCATCTCTGAAGGTTGAGGCCACTGGAATGTTGTGCCGAGCGATAAAGCTAAAATGACTTTCCCTTGCCACGCTTACGGACGCCGTTATGGCTTTACTTATCACAAAGTATCCTACTCCATCGTATCCACCATCTCAAGATCGAGAATCGAAGTGCCCGCCTCATGAGGAGCTTTATGATGTTTACAAAGGTCAAAACGATTCAGCGAGAATCAAAGCAAATATAACTTGAGTCTGTACGAACAGCACAACGGGAATGCTGTCAACTGAAATTGTTGAACGTCTTCCCACATTACTGAGTTTAGTAGGCGGCGTAGCAAGTGCACTCATGCTACTGGACGTCTACCAAAAATGGTGTAAGGACCCGTCGTATTTACAACAGATAAGTCCCTGGATATTGATACATAAACAGCTATCTACTCCGAAGCCAACGTCTGCAGGAGCGACCGTGAACCTTTTGTCCGGTACGGGTCCATACACGTCCTTAACGAGAGGCTTTCTGAACATGGTGAAGCTCAGCGGATCACGCAGTTTGATCAGTGGAAATCTCGCGCACTGTATCTGGGTGCATCGTCGAAGCTAACATTGGTTTGACTAGACACTATGGTTCACCTTACCCACTCTGCAATACACTGGAAGATGCGCTGTATCCGAGACTCGAGCGGCAATGAGGAAAACACTCCTCCCAACGTCGTGTGTGCAGACTGCGGATGCGAAGACACAGCCTAGCTGGGACGTCTCGAGCTCAACATTACGTAGTTAGCAGCTCTCGTGCACCACTTTGAATAGTGGAAAAACTGCAAACCTTGTAAGACTCGTAGCGTTAAGGAAATTCACGTCGTTCCCGAACAGGTAGAGGGATATCCAAGCTGACTCCGTGGGCTTGTCCAGACACTGAAGTATCAAATAGTGCTGCAACCGCATGGCAATCTTCCAGGCGTCTGATATAAGGAGCTGGCAGACTTTGTCATGAGCCTTGGCCACCTCCCGCTCGTGGTTGGCGAAGGCTTCACTCATACAGAGCAGAAGCGTAGCAGAGTCGTCGCCATCGTCCATTATTTTCGCGCCAAAGTGTTCTGTAAGTTGTGTTCTGTGGGAAGATCGAAAAATATAGAAGGATTCAGTGCCTTTTTGTCCAAAATCATGTGTCAGGTACATTTACAAATCAATTGATATTTTTTTAAAGTGGGGCGTTTCATACAGGACAGTCGCTGCGCTCTTATTGCATTTGTTGTGTAGTGAGAAGTTGAGAGTAGACTTTCCAAACTAAAATGTATTCCTGACTCATGCCGCAGTCGAGTCTATAGTGTGATATTTCTAGGAAGTGAAGTGTACAAAACGGGAAAACCTAAGAATAGTGAAGGCGAACGATAACGAAGGCATCTTGACTGAGATCACTCGACCAGCAACAACACTATATGCAATACCAGACCAACTATCCGTACGCCACGACATCGCAGCAGTATGGGGCGATATCAAATCGTCGCGATGAGCAGCGACGCCGACAACAGGAATATTCCCAGGCTCTTGCTAAGCAGGTAGCGCAACGCGAACAGCAAAAACGTCGCGAGCGTGAAATGGATCAACAATATCGAAGACATAGCGGGGCATTTCCGAATCCGTTTAACCAGAATTTCCGTCAAGAAGCGTTCGCGTCAGCTGAGCGTGGAATTCTAGACGGACTGGGGCACAATAACCCTCAAAACACACGAAAGAGCTTCGCGCGTGGGCAGCCCCAGCTGCATCATCGCTTACCCGGTGGCCCAGAATCGTTCGACTATTCTCAAGCAAGTAATTTCCCGCCAGCTCAACATCGACCCTCTGTGGATAACCAAACTTTTCAAAGTGGGTTCGGATATCCTGGTAATATGAACCAGCAGCATCCAATGGCACAGCAAAGTTGGCAACAACAACAATCCATTCCAGCACCTGGTACCGTTGGGCCACCTCCTTTTCCCGGATCAAACGTGCAAGCTGGTTGGGGTGTGCAAAATCCTCAGCTGAATGCCATGCCTCAAGCAGTTCGTAATGACTTGGTGGCTGGGCCGCCGCCTTTTGCTCCGGGGCCAAGCATACAAACTGGTTGGCAGAACCCTCAGCAGAATCCAATGGCACAAGCAAGAAACAGTCAATATTGGGCTGGACAAAGCTTTCCCGAGCAACCTGTACCATCGGCAGGCTATGCAGGCTACGCATCTCCACAACGACCGAACTATCAGTCAGGACACCCCTACGATAGTCCACCAGGACCCCCAAATGCTCACAATGCTGGACGCCGTCTGCGAACAGGTATACACGATGGAGATCGAGGAGATGCCGAGGAGAGGTTTCGTCGAAAACAGCAACAGCAGCACGAGATGCAACTCGCACTGGAGCGTCAAATTGAGGAAAAACGACAACAAAAGCTGGAAGCTAAGCGTCGTCAGGAAGAAGAAGATCGACGCGAGTTGGAACGCTTTGAAGAAGAGCAACGTCGGTTAAGAGCTGAACAAGAGCGACTGCAAGAAGAGAAACGTCGCAAGGCAGAACTGGAACAGCAGAAAGCAGACCAGGCAGCCGCGGCGGTCGCGGCGGCAAACCAGCAAGCCAAACTTCAGCAACAACATAAACTGCACGCTCAACTGAACCAACCACAACCTCAACATATCCAATCATTTCAACAGCATTACCAACCACCACCACAGCAACCTGAACACTTTCCAAACGCTCCATCGCCTGATAGATCGAAAAATCCGTTCACCAACTCCCGTGCTCATCTGTTCGAAGATCCCCCACCGCCTCGAGAGTCGATGGCTCCAAGTAATCACCACGGGTACTCGAACCAGAACGCGTCTCCAATCCGAGGACATCCACAGAGTTTTGGTCCAGCGTTTGAGCACGACAATAATATGGGTCGTTTACTTGACCCCATGGAATTACGTCATCAGTACGATGATATGCGGGAGGAGTTGAGTAGGCAGAAACAACTCGTTGACCAACTACGCCAAGCTCAAGCACAGATCCAACAGCGTTCACCTGTGCGAGTGGAAAGCGGGAATATCCCTACGCTGATAGATCTCGAGAAACTCCGCAATGAATTGCGTGGAGAACTCGCTTATCGTGAACAAATTCATCGACAAGAGTTGGAGTCGCTGAAACGAGAGCAACAGCAAGAGCGACCTCCTACACAATCTCCTCACCGCCACTCAGGAGTGAAGGACTCCCTTGAGCTGCAAGTTCGAATTCCTAACAAGGTTGAACGTATCTCGTCGCATCCAGAGACTATCAAAGCACACGAAGTGTCGAGGCAGCAACGAGGTTCTCCCAATAAAATACAACACCCGTTTCGATCCAGTACCGAAGAATTGAGTCATCACCTCAAAGCACCGATTAGTGAAAGCGCAATGTCATTGCGTGGTGAAAGCAGGTTTGTGTACTTTAATGTCGAGACCGGAGGGAACCTAAATGGTGACGTTGGGGACGAAAAAAGTTCTGACAACGAACAGGACGGAGACGCGCTGGATGAACAAAGCGAATCGATCAAAGTGGAGGCACCTCTACAGCGAAAGAGCATTCAAAAGAGTGTCCAATTCTCACCAACAAGAAAGCCTAGCATCAGGCAGTCTGTAGCTGTAACCAGATCGGTATCTCCCAGAAGACCGATAAAAAGTGAAGTTTCGGACACCGACAGCGATGGTGACGATGATCGTGGATTTGTCGTGACAGGTATCACGTCTTCTCCGTCGCACCAGCTACTGAACTCACCGTCAACCTCTCGCAGCAGCAGATCTGCAGCGAGCAGTCATCGGTACTCACAGTTGCCACCAGCCTTGTCTTCATTTTCACCTTCAAAGGCTTCACATAAGTGGCGTCTTGAGTCCATGGGCACCACCGACAGCAACGATGATCTGGATGAAAGTTTGGACGGTGATCAGCTTGAAGCACTTTTCCAGCGAAATGTTCGTCGACACGAGATTCTTCTAGGATTTCAAAGCAAGTTGCAAGGGCAACCACAGGACGCAAAGCAACGAAAGCCTGACGCAAAACTGGCATGGGCGGAGTTACACCAACAACTCGAGAGTAATAGACGTGCGTTGATGCTCCGGAAACTCAGTACTATGAGCACAGCATCAAACGATTCAAACCAAGAAACTATTGACAATGAGGCGGCTCTAGTAGCGTCCTCAAAGTGGGTGCCGTCGACAGTTCTATCAACTCGAAGACGGAACGTAGTGAACAACTAAAAGCCAGGTTCTTTGATTGACACTTAAGCCGCACAGATCGCTCTAGTCGTCTATCATCCCTTAATGCACGCAAGTGATTCTCTCTCACTTGTTCCATATTCTGGCATACACAAAACTGCACAAAGCTCACACATAGCTTGGCTTACCACCAGTGAAGCCACGAAAGCCAGCTGTGGCCTTGCTGGCTGCCGTCGTTGTTATCGCTGCCCCAGTGACCGTTCCAGTACTGGTTGCTGCCCTGGTTGTTACCCCAGTGGCCGTTCCAGTACTGGTTGCTGCCTTGGTTGCTCGAAGGAGCGGCAGTCGTGGTGGCGGGGGTAGACGTGGCCAAAACTGGAGCCGTGGTGCTGTCAGTGGCAGTCTCCGTAGCAACCGGTGCCTCTGTAGCGGCAGAGGCCTCCGTCACAGGAGCGACCGTAGCAGCGTTCTCACTGCCCGTGGTCGAAGTACCCGAGCTGGTGAACGGAGCCGAACCCGAACCGGCCAGGTTCGAGAAAGCAGTAGAGCCCGAGGCGGAAGAAGACGCCGTTGCCGAAGCAGAGGCCGACGATCCGGCGTCCACCGAGCCGGAGGACGAGCCCGCGCAAGCCACCGACTTCTCCAGAAGCATGCTCACATCAGCGTAGCTAAGACCGATGCTGGTCACAGTATCAGCAGCCGGTTTGGCCTTAGGGAACCACAGGAAGTCCGGGTGGTCGTCGTCCGAATCGTAGACCCACTCACCACCGATGATGGCTCCATCGTCGTCCATCTCCAGCAGGTACGTGTAGTAGGCACCCGTCGTGTACGAGTCGACCTTACCCGAGGACACCAGACCACCATCCGTGTACGTTTCGAAGATCCACGAGAGACGCGTCTTGACGTACACGATGCTCTTGGCAGCAGCATTCCACGGGTACTCCTCAAGTCCATAGAAGGTCTGGGCCGCTTCCTCCAGCGTCATCTCCGTCTGTTCGTACACCTTGAAGCCACGCACAGGCTGGTTCCACACCTCCGAACCGGCGGTGACATCAGCGACGAAGGTGGCGTTCAGTTTGCCCAGAAGGTTGGCCGCAGCAATGTGGAAGTACGCAGGGTTCAAATCACGGTACGCGTCGCTCGAGTGACGGCCGTACTCGTCCGTCGAGTCCGTACCGCCGTTGTAGCGTGTGCCGGTGAACACCGTCGAGACGGAAGCACCATCATAGACGTCCGAGATCAACGCCTTGATGTCCATCGGCTGGAACGTCACGCCGTTGTAGGTCACCGCGCACTTTGGCTCTTCCTCGATCATGGCAGCAGGCGCCCAAGCGTGGCAGATACCGAACCAGGTAGGGATGCAGTAGCCCGAGCTCTTGCCAGCACGGATGGCGCACGAGCTGCCGTCGGTGAGAGACGAGCAGTCACTGTCCGAGGAGCAGACTGTGCGGCTGCTCATCGAGTCAATGCCGTTGTCGGCCGACACCTTGTCCATGAAGTCGTCGACGTCCAGGCCGAAAGCCTTGGCGTACTTTTCGGCGGGACTCGGCTCACCGGCACTCCAGATAACGTTGATGCTGTCCTGGTACGTGGGCCAGTACGGACCGGGCCACGGCGACGGTGTGTGGACACCCACGGTTGGCAGGTTGGCGAGCGTCATCTCCATGGACGTGCCGAAGTAGGCCTCCAGCTTGGCGATGTCCTTGTTGGTATTGGCCTCGAGTTGACGCTTCGTCTCGATCTTCTCCTCCAGTCTACGGCCGGACATGGGCGAGTGGCGCAGCTTACGGCTGCTCTCTTCCTCCCAGCCAGTGGCACAGTTGGGCTCCTCCTCCACGCTAGGAGCTGCGGTCGTAGTCGTCACGCCAGTCTTAGACGGTGAGACCGTCGCGGTAGTCTCGACATTGGACGATCCGGCAACGCTGGTTGAAGTGGTAGGGGCAGGCGTCACCCCCGTCTTCGTGGATGGAGAAGTGGTCGAGGTAATGTCTTCAACGGAAGAACCAGCCACGCTGCTGTACGACGTGGAAGGCGCCGTCGTGGCTGTCGTGACACCAGTCTTTGTGGAGGGTGAGGTTTCGGAGGTGTCATCCACGCTAGGAGATGTAGTCGCGGTCGTCACGCCGGTCTTGGACGGCGAGACCGTTGCGGTAGTCTCAGCATCGTACGAACCAGCAACGCTAGTCGAGGTAGTCGGGGCCGTCGTGACACCCGTCTTAGTTGACGGCGAAGTGGTCGAGGTAGTCTCTTCAGCCGAGGAGCCAGCCACACTGTTTGACGACGTCGAAGAAGCCGTTGTTACACCCGTCTTAGTAGACGGCTGAGTGGTTGACGTGGATTGCTCCGCAGAAGAACCAGCGACGCTGCTGGACGCAGACGGATTGGTGATGACACCCGTCTTGGTAGACGTAGTGGTGGACGTCGAAGTGGACGATTGGGAAACTGTCGTGCCCGTTTTGGTATGCGTCGTAGTGCCCGCCGCGGAGGAAGTGGTGGATGACTGGGTCGTCTGCGTGGTTGACGTCGAGGTTGACGTCGAAGTGGTGGTCGTTATCGTGTACGCATCCTGGTTTGCGCCCGTGGCTGGGATATCCTCACACAGGACCGCCTTGCCCACCAAGGTGGAGATGGCCTCCGATGGAGCCGTGCTCGTGTTAGCCAGCAGCTCCGTGTAGGTCACAGTAACAGTTGAGATGGTGGTGATGTCGGGAAGCGTAGGGTCAACCTCCACGGTGATGGCGCAGTCCTGGTCAGCGACCTGTCCGCCGCGCGCCGGGAACTTGCTACTGATCTCGCCCGTGGTGTTGGCCGAAGTCACTGGGTCGTAGAAGAGTGACGTCGCCGACGCCTGCTGCATCTGCATGGCCACGAGAGCCGCAGCCGCCGGGATGAGGTAGCGGCGCGGCGTGTACACCATGTTGCTGGCGTTGATCCAATGGAGAGCTGAAGCTGTTGTCTGCGTCTAACCTGCAACGGCCGAGTAATTTCCTCGCCAGCGAGAAAATTGGGGAATGCCCGCGTCCTCTACGAGCCAGCAGGTGCCGAGCAGTGCATTGCAGAGCTCTGACCCGGCACGTGACTTGAGACCGGCCGTCTCGGCAGTCGGCGTCGAGCGTGACATCTTGCGGTGGAACTGTTGGACGCCACCTTACCGGCTGGTGGCGGCAGCACATGGGATATGCGCAGAACGCCAGAGGACAAGGCCTCCAGCTGTGTGGCTCGCCTTTGCCGTCTGAATCGATTCAACAGCTCCAGCCACAACGAGTAGCTTCGGCGGCGGGCGCTGCGCTCGAGATGGCGGTGCGGATATTTAGAGCATCGAGCTTTCAGGACCGGCGCGCTCGTAATGTTGTACGTTCAGATTAGGATCGTGCACGCAGGGATTGCTGCTGCTGTCGCTGTTTGGTGATGCTATCGGCATAGGGAGTCCCTATGCCGATAACATTAGGGACATTGAGCGCAACTTGGCGTTGGTGCTGACTGCTTCGGTAAAAGTTGGTCCACTAGTCAGCGAAGCAATCAAACAGCAATTAATACATGATACCCCGTTCAAAACAAAAAATAATAAAAAATTTTGCCCCTAAAAAAGTGAAGATTGAGCTTCAAATAGTTGTTAAATCGAATCAAAAGACATCGTTGCATATTCAAGGATGATATTATAATAGATGTGGATTTTTTGCTGTTGCATTGTGGTTGATGGGATGCCAGCTTGGCGAGCTCGTTTCGGTGCTGTGGCATGCCGACTCCATCACCTCGCTGGAGTTCACCGTTGTTTGGTTTGGTGTGCCTAACTTGCGCGAGTCGAAGGCAAGTTTATATAACGTTGTGGGGCACATGTACATGTATGTAAGATTCCCCACAACAGCAATCGCTGTTGGCATAGGAGTCGGGTGGATTTTGATCGCTATTGAAGACCCCGCTCGCAAATGCTGCAGTCCACTCGAAGGGAGCACGAGCAATGCGACGCCCAGCAGCCTCTGAGTAGAGATGCTGTACATGGAACAGGAGATCTCCCTTGCGAGCTGCCACGCCGTCTGCAGCTGGCCAACACGATTGAAGTGATCCGGTGCCAGCCTCAAGATGACCAAAAGATGACGGGCACGCCTTACAGTGATATTCACCTTGGTAAGTAAGGTGGATGGAAGAGCACAGTAAAAACCGAACCATGCAAAGTAGGTGGCATTATGATAGACTTTGTTACAGAGGCCGCGGCCTCTGCTGAGTGAGTCAAAATTTGCAATCGAACGATGTTGCGGTACAATGCTGCGCTCGTCAACACACTAATACACCACGCGTACACCAAACTACGGTAGCACGAGCCGTTCTGAGCAGATCGCGCCGTGTAGCAGAAGAGCTGTTGGAGCAAATATTCAAAAGAGGCACGCAGTTCTTGTCTTCCAGCGGGGGGTGGCGCCACTTGATGCACTTCCAGCAGTTCCACCGGCTTCCGACGCCGGATGGGTTTTAATTTGAAAACACCTGCAAGTCGATATTTTAGTGGCGCCCCGGATACCGTCACCTTCAACGATCTGACTTGTCCGCCCTCCAAGCCAAAAATCGCGAACAAGTTGCATTTCGGTGGTCGTCTGAGTGCGTCTACCTACACATAGAACGCTTTGGCGTGCGGAATGCGGTCGGAAGCTCACAGCGTAGTGGAATGATGTAGCAAGCTTTATCGGTACATGTACTTTAGGCGGGCAAATCAATACCATAGGGCTCGCAATTTGCATGTAAGTAGTAGTTAAGTCACCTCGTGACTACTCAAACAAAAAAATACGAGACCATGTACCTGCACTAGAAAAGCACTCATCGAATTTCGTAACTGCAAGACTACTTCGAAGATTCACTTTGCGTACGTTAAGTGCTCTATTCGTCCCGAAAGACCGATGATATGAGAACGGGAGCAGCTTCAGCAACGATTATGCCTGGACAGCGTTATTGTAAAACTGGGCCTCATTTGCTTTGCCTCAAGACATCTACAGACTCATTACTGCTCGATTATTGCTCCTTACCGTATCTAATTACACTTGATAAGTAGTGGAGTTTTGCCATGTAATGGTGATTTTCATTGAGACTGAAGCCGTAAGGCACTAGCTCGGTTGCCATACCATCACGTATACAGGTGATTCTCTCTCACTGTTCATCACTTAAGGCACTGCTGCATCTGCCCCGCTTACCACCAGTGGAAGAAGGACTGGTACCATTGACGTGGGTGGTCGCTGTTCTCGAACTGCTGCTGTTGCTGCTGCTGGTATTGGTGGTACTGGTCTTCGCTCTCATCGTGATGGTTGTTGCCCTGGTTGCCACCCTGGTTGTTGCCCTGGTTGTTGCCCTGGTTGCCACCCTGGTTGTTGCCCTGGTTGTTGCCCTGGTTGCCACCCTGGTTGTTGCCCTGGTTGCCACCCTGGTTGCCACCCTGGTTGTTGCCCTGGTTTCCGCCATTGCTGGACGGAGTAGCCGTTGTCGCAGCGGGGGCGCCGGTATTCAGCGTAGTAGCAGCCGGGGTCCCCGTCGCAGGGGCCTCCGTAGCCGGGGCGTCCGTAGCCACGCTGCCCGCGTTAGAAGCAGTCGAGCTCGTGGACGGCACGTCCGTAGCCGAACCGGCCGAGGTCGAGGCAGAGCTCGTCGCCGATCCCGAAGCACCCACCGAGCCCGAGGTCGAGGCCGACGCCGAAGCAGAGGCCGAAGCCGAGCCAGCCGAGCCCGAAGCCGACGTAGAGTCAGAGCAAGCGACTGACTTCTTAAGAAGCATGCTCACGTCTGCGTAGCTGAGACCAATGCTGGTCACAGTGTCCGCGGCAGGCTTGGACTTGGCGAACCACAGGAAATCAGGGTGGTCGCTGTCCGAGTTGTACACCCACTCACCACCGATGATCTCGCCGGCATCATCCAGCTCCAGAAGGTAGTAGTAGTACTGGCCCGTGGTGAACTTGTCCACTTCACCCGAGGCCACCAGGCCGCCGTCTGTGTACGTCTCGAAGACCCACGAGAGACGCGACTTGACGTACACAATGCTCTTAGCAGCGGCGTTCCACGGGTACTCCTCGAGGCCGTAGAAGGTCTGAGCGGCCTCTTCGAGCGACATGGCAGTCTGCTCGTACATCTTGAAACCTCGCACGGGTTGGTTCCACACCTCAGCGCTGGCCGTCACGTCGACGACAAACGAGTGCTTGAGCTTGCCGAGAAGGTTGGCAGCGGCGATGTGGAAGTACGCAGGGTTCATGTCACGGTAGGCGTCGTTCGTGTGACGGCCATACTCATCCGTGCCGTCATCGCCACCGTTGTAACGGGCACCCGTGAACACCGTCGAGACCTTGGCACCGTCGTAGACGTCCGAGATCAGACCCTTGATGTCCAAGGGCTGGAACGTCACGCCGTTGTGCGTGACCGGACAGTTCGGCTCCTCCTCAATGATAGCAGCCGGGGCCCAAGCGTGGCAGATACCGAACCACGTAGGGATGCAGTAGCCCGAGGTCTTGCCGTCGCGGATGGCGCACTTGCTGCCGTCCGTGCGGGAAGCGCAGTCGTTGTCCGACGAGCACTTGGTGCGCTTGCTCTGCGAGTCCACACCATTGTCCTTCGACACCTTGTCCATGAACTCCTTCACGTCAAGACCGAAAGCCTTGGCGTACTTCTCAGCGGGGCTGGGCTGTCCCTCACTCCAGACGACGTTGATGCTGTCCTGGTAGGTCGGCCAGTACGGGGCGGGCCACGGCGCAGGCGTGAATACACCCTGGGTTGGCAGGTCCTTGAGTTTCAACTCCATCTTGGTGCCGAAGTAGGCCTCGAGCCTGTCAATGTCCCTGTTCGTTTTAGCCTCCAGACGACGCTTCTTCTCGAGCTTCTCCTCGAGAGCATGGCCCGACACGACGCTGTTACGCAGCTTACGGGTGGCCGTGGCCGGTTCTTCCTCCCAGCCGGTGGCACAGTCCTTGGGCTTAGCTCCACCCTTGACAGTCGACGGTGTCGTGTTACCTGTGGTAGTTCCAGTCTTGGACGGAGTTCCCGAAGTCGTGACGGTGCCCGTCTTGGACGGGGCAGCGGTGACGTTCGACGTGCCCGTCTTGGTAGCGGGCGGGTTCACCTCCGTCGAGCCCTGAGTTGGCGAGCCCGAGGTGACGTACGCATCCTGGTCAGCGTCAGTGTTCGGGGTCTCTTCGGACAGCACAACAGTGCCGACCTTGGTGTGCACCGGCTCGGTCGGGGCCGTAGTCAAGTTGGCCAGCAGCTCAGGGTACGTCACCGGCACCGTCGAGATGGTGGTGATGTCCGGAAGGGTGGGGTCAATCTCCACCTCGACGGCGCAGTCCTGGTCGGGGACCTCGCCACCAACAAATGGGGACGATTTCGAGATCGTATCCGCGGTCTGTGTCACAGAGTGCACTCCGTAGTACAGCGACGCGGCGGAAGCGTGCTGCATCTGCAACGCGACGGCGGCCACGGCAGCGGAGACGAGATAGGTGCTGGGCGAGTATACCATATTGCAAAGAGAGTCGATCTAGAGATCCGGAAGGATAGCGCGTCAACCTGGAACGGAGGAAGGCTGTGTAATCTTCTCGACGACGAGAAAATTGGGGAATGGCCATACTGCTGTTGGCTGTGCCCCAGCTCGTTTGCAACGTTGAGCACGGATATCCATGTAGCGCCCGATTTGCAGCAAAAGAGAGTGAGCGCGAGCCAACGTTAAATAAAGGCTCTGAAAAGGCGAGGCTGGCGCGCAAGAACTTCTTTAGGAAGTTTGGTAGTGTAGAAGCAAGGGGCTCTTGTATTAGTTCGGAACTCATTCAACAAGGCCGGCTTTGCCTCTTGCTGTCCGCACGCCACTTCATCCGAGCACGTCTCTCGTCGTAAGATTAAATTTTAATATACCTGCGTCGGTGCAAAGAGCGTTCGGAACCGTGAGTAACCTGCGAACGACACGCGTCTTCTTCACGTCTTGCAGTTCTTTGCATCCCAGCCGATGGTTCTCTTGATGTTTTCGGTGTCGAGCGGTGACTTTGGTTTGTACCCACGGGACAAGCGAGGAGACCGCGTTGAGGTCCAGAGCTCAGGACGAGTCAAATTGCGATCCGCGTGCACACGAAATGTCCTCACGTGCGGCTCCAGACAGGAGAGAGCAGGAGTCGTGTCCTCACTTGCTGTACCCTGTAGCTTTTACAAGTCCCGCAAGCCGGCGTCGGATACAGTGTACGACGTACACGTATAGGCTGGCGTGAGTTCTCATCGGCACAGCGTGTATTTAGCGGGTCAATTAGGTATCCAACCACCCGGCAAAGGCGAACCAGTCGGCAACGACTCAACTGTATTTGGGGCAACTACTCAACTGTACTTGTATTTGCCTTCACCACCCACATAAGAAACAATGAAAGAGGTCGTCAGCGTAGGAACCTCAATTCATTTTGTACGTTAAAGTATGTCCCTGCATCTTAACATGTAAACGCCGCCTCCACCTCGGAGCCTGTAATCTTCGTGGCCAGAGGCATTGGCCACATCACTTGCTTGCTTCCCCGCTAGCTTGTTTCCCTATCCTTGTTGAAGAGATTAATCTCCATTTTATTAATAAACTCTGCAAGGATTGTTTTAATCGGAAATCTTTGGAAACGAACAGGAAAACGGTAGACACCTTTACATCAAGGTCACAGTTGCTGCTGCCACCTCCACCGGAGATACCGATTCCTCTCAAAGCCTATCCGATACCGTTGCTTGAAGACCCTGTAGTCTACAGTGTAGGCTGACTCTGTATTGCTGAGTCAGCTTCTCCCAGCTGCAACTGCAGCACCCAGGCACATGATTCGGAGGATGTTGCAGACTGCAACTTCCAGTCATGTATTGTGACGTTTCATCAGCCGCCTTACCACCGTTGTAGCTTTACTGCCGTCGTGCCAAACGGGAAAAATCAAACCATTACGTTTTTATTAATTAAACGTTCCACCAACGCCACCACACGAATCGTGGGCGTGGACCGCGACAAGTACATGTAGTGTTATTGTGCGTGTTCAACAAGTCGCCTTCACCTTCGAGTTGAACCGTCATCCGTACCTTCAATTGATAACGGTGTGGGGAATAAGACATTGAAAGACAGCAACAGATACGTTGGAGGACAATCTGGAAGTGAACTCGACTACATCCATGTATGTGCATGGGCATGTACCGCTGTAGTTTTACAGTTCATGCAGCGAAGCATCTTAAGCAAATAGGTCAGGATACAAACAGGCGCTATTTGCTAAAGATGAGAGTGCGTTTGCCACGCCACGCTTCACGATCACCGCGCATACAAGCTCGAAGCGTGGCCTATTACTAGACGCTTGCTTGGAGGCTTTCCATGACCATACCGTGCCGTGCAATTGCTTCATCGCTTCGTTGCCATGTGTACGCAAATCCCATGTTGTACAGGTATGTAGATATTCCAGCCAAAACTCGAGCTCGGATGTCGGGGGTTTAGTGCCGTCGTTCCAGATGTCTCAAGCCATAAGCTGGCTCGCAACATGCTTCGGTTCGGGCACTGCCCGTTGAGCAGCTCATTCTTCAATTTTCTCGACATCGAGAAGATTACATAGCTCGTTGTTGCAGGTTTATCGACAATGGTGTACTCACCCAGCTCCTACCTTATCTCGGCCGCCGTGGCTGCGGTTGCTCTGCAGATTCAGTACGCGTCTGCCGGATCGCTGTACTACGGAGCGTTTGACGCGTCCGACAATGTTAAAGTCAGCAAAGACTCGCCTCTTGTCGGTATCGAAATCCCCGACCAGGACTGCCCCATCGAGGTGGAGGTCGACCCGACGCTCCCGGACATAACGACCATCTCGACAGTGCCGGTGACCTTCCCGGACCTGCTGGCAAACTTGACGACGGCTCCGTCCGAGCCGGTGTTCTCAAAGGTGGGCACGGTGATCATGTCGGAGGAGATCCCCGCCACTGACGCCGACCAGGACGCGTACATCGACTCATCGCTTCCGTGGATTGCCACTGGTACGCCGACCAAGACGGGTGTGGAAAAGGCCGCAAAGGACTGCGCTACTGGTTGGGAGGAGCCGGTTACCTCTACCGCCGATAAGCTGCAGGAGAAGCTCGAGAAGAAGCGTCGTCTGGAGGCTAAAACGAACAGGGACATTGCCAAGCTTGAGGCCTACTTCGGCACCAAGATGGAAATGAACCTGAAGAACCTCCCCACGATCGGCGTCCACACGCCGTCGCCGTGGGCCGGTCCGTACTGGCCGACCTACCAGGACAGCATTAACGTCGTCTGGAGTGAGGGACAGCCCAGCCCCGCTGAGAAGTACGCCAAGGCTTTCGGTCTTGACGTGAAGGAGTTCATGGACAAGGTGTCGAAGGACAATGGTGTGGACTCGCAGAGCAAGCGCACCAAGTGCTCGTCGGACAACGACTGCGCTTCCCGCACGGACGGCAGCAAGTGCGCCATCCGCGACGGCAAGACCTCGGGCTACTGCATCCCTACGTGGTTCGGTATCTGCCACGCTTGGGCCCCGGCTGCCATTCTCGAAGCCGAGCCCAACTGCCCGGTGACTCACAATGGTGTGACGTTCCAGCCCTTGGACATCAAGGGTCTGATCTCCAACGTCTACGATGGTGCCGGTGTGGCAACGGTGTTCACGGGTGCCCGCTACAACGGCGGTGACGATGGTGCCGATGAGTACGGACGCCACACGAACGCCGCTTACCGCGACCTGAACCCTGCGTACTTCCACATTGCGTCTGCCAACATCCTGGGCAAGCTGAACGCTACCTTTGTGGCTGACGTCGACGCTGCCGCAGAGGTGTGGAACCAGCCTGTGCGCGGTTTCAAGGTGTTCGAACAGACCGCCATGTCGCTCGAAGAGGCCGCTCAGACCTTCTACGGCCTTGAGGAGTATCCGTGGAACGCCGAAGCTAAGAGCATCGTGTACGTCAAGTCGCGTCTCTCGTGGATCTTCGAGACGTACACGGACGGCGGCCTGGTGGCCTCGGGTGAGATCAACCGATACACAACGGGCAAGTACTACTACTACCTTCTGGAGCTGGATGATGCCGGTGATATCATTGGTGGCGAGTGGGTCTACGCTTCAGACAGCGACCACCCTGATTTCCTGTGGGTGCCGAAGTCGAAGCCTGCTGCTAACACCGTGACCAGCATTGGTTTGAGCTACGCTGACGTAAGCATGCTCCTTGAGAAATCTGTCGCTTGCTCCGACTCCCCTTCGGCTGCTGGCTCCGTGTCGTCTAGCTCGACTGCTGGCTCGGTGGGCGAATCCACGGAGGCTCCTACGGAAGTGCCGACCACGTCGACGAGTGCTTCTACGTCTGGCAGCGCGTTGTAAGTACCCAGCACGTCTTCCGTATTTGTCGTTGCACATGAACATGTAGCTTCGTTTAAATTGCCAGCATTTTCACAAGAAAATGGTTCAATACACGCACTATCGATTTGGCATGTGAAGTTGTAAATTGTACATCGACGCAAGTGTCTAATGTAAGATAAAACAATGTTTTACCTTACATTAGAAGTCACTTACTTGTTTTAAAAACATGTTATCCTGCAGACACGATTTATATGCACCTAACCAGTATAATAAGTAGTATGTATTAATACTAAGTACTCGAATCGTCGTACGAATTACTACTTGTACGTGTACTACCAGATATGGAAATTGCTGCAAGGCACAATATCAAGTTTTTAGTTCAAATCTTTGCTCTAGAAGAACGAAGATATGGATACAATCTGAAAAGTCAGATATATATAGATTAAACCGTCTAAATTTGAATGTTGCTCCACAGTGGATTTTCCATCCGAAAGTGATGAGAGTTTGGAGTTTTTTTTTATTCGTGTAGGGGATAAAACGTTTTACATTCTTGTTCAGAGTTATACCAGAATAAACAGGAAAGGTATCAGATAACAGCCTTAGTACCCAAAATTTGTGCTAGGTGGGGGGGGGGGGGGTGGGCTCAATCTGAAAAACATCTTCAATCGGGACCTCAATTTCTCAATTTTCACTTGCTTCGATCGCCCTTGAAGCACCTTCAGCGTTCATTGCTGTGTCAAGCGATCGCATACGAGAAGCATCTCCACTACCAGCGAGTATGTCCAGCGTCTAGCTGTGCGTGATCACCTCTGTGCTCTCTTGAACTGAGTTGGCAACCACCCTCATCTTTTAGGCTATTATCTATAATGCTGTGGAGGTCTGGGTATTTACACCTACGCCTGTTATGAGATGTCTTCTAACCCGAAATTGCATGTTTTGGGCTCGACTAGGGAGAAAATGACCCGGTTAAAAAAATTGAAAAAAAACTAAATAAAATACTACTGGAGTATCAAGATTAAAAGCGAGCCGTTAAATTTCATTCATACTGTATGTTTATATACCAATAATTATTGGGTACGATAATTCTAATATCAGCAAAGAAAGCCATGGATTATACACTCCGCACAACGAGTACTATATCAGTGCATGCAGGTTATGACAAGGGTGCTAGTGACAGCTTTTGTAAAAGACAAGCCGAGAAGATTTCGTGCTTTGTAAATGTTTTAAGCGGTTTGCAATAATAATGCTGGTTGACCCACAAAATCATGAAGATCTTGATCAAGATTAAGTTAATATTCGAGCATGTTAGCAACACTACTATGGCATCAAGCAACAGATTTGTTTTTGGTTTTTTTTACACAATAAAAAATTTAACTACTTTTTTTTTTTAGTTCTGATTGGTATTTTACTTAATTTTGCTGTGAATAATAACGCTAAATACATGTAATGGATTCGATTTGGCATTGCAATGTGTTTTCGTTTGTTGTTTAAAAATTAATTCACGAATTATTTTTTAGTACTGTCTTCTATTTCTTAATTAAATACAGCAATTATAATGGTTTCAATGTTTCATGTGTCTATAATAAGTTATTCCGTCATTACAAATGTATTGTACTTTATTATTTTTCCATACCCTGCTTTCTAGCTACCCCAATAAAATAGATCGGAGGTAATTTTTGATTATCATTACCTCTTTCTCACAAGGGTGAGCCGTGACATACATCTATTTAATACCTGTAAACGGCATGGTGTGATCAAGAACGAAATCTGCCCGCAATCACGCCGTGAACAACATATTTTTTGCGGCCTGACAGTAATGAAGATAAAATAGAGTTCAGTGTCAGACGTGTTTGATTTCGAAAGAGGCATAAGAATATAATTGCATAGCAAAACATAAATACCGTCTCGTGTGTTATCGGTTTTGCCGCAAATGGCAAAACTGGGACTGTTTGATCGCTGGGATGACTGTGGACTGGACAACGCAAAAAATCCAGAATACAAGTATTCGGATATTCACTATCTGACACGCACTGCAGATGTTGCGTGCAATATCGTGAACATTAGGTCACTTGCATTTGATCAATTTGCGACAACAGCTCAGTGAGCTTTTGTCTCAAATTGCTCAATGAAGAATGTTACTATTTTAGTATCCAGAGTACAATATAGGGTGTACTTTTGCCTTTCAGTACTGATGTAAAAAAAATAAGACTAGATACCAGGCACATGAAAAACTGAACCAAATGCATACATATTTTGCATTTATAATATCGTGGTGGTACGCTTTCTGTCAAAAGAATTGCGGCAGAGTGGGCGACAAGTCTGGCGTCCAAAAATTCAGCAGTGAGAATGAATCGCCTATCTAACCGTTGTTGGTAGCTACTAATACATGATAAAAACTCTTCGCCTTGCATTGAGATAACTATTAATACAGTCTACGATGGATCGCTCCCACTTTTTCTTTTTCACCGAAGGGCGGGTATCATGGAGCCTGTGACCAAAGTCCTGGAGCTGAGGCAGCTCGAACATCAATCCTACCACCGTCCTATTAATAAATCTTAGCGGACTCACGGCTTCAACGAAGTTCACTTCGTAGATCCGGGCATGTTCCAGAGTTTCGGCAGTTGTGGCCATACGGAATTCGTACATCAACAGCGCTGTTCACGTTCAACAAAATGTGCATAATTTGCTGGAGTTTAGCAAAGACCACAGCAAAGACGCCTCACCGATCCTTTTGTATTAGATCGATTTACGATAGAAGGAAGGAACTACTGTGCCGAGAACTACCAGGATAGTCTTAGACATATTAACTATAAAACGCAACACTTCGAAAATCTGCTTTCACCATCTTTTTTTAGAACTGGGGCATTCTATTAGAATTAGTAGCGAACAGCAAACGTTGGAAAATACATTTTTAATTTGGAGGATGAGCAACCGGGAATTACAATAACCCAGTAGATCAACATGACGTCGTCCAACTCCTGGAATCTGTACACATATCCTTGATAATGCTTTCCTCGTCGTATTAGTTAAAACTTGCACTTTGGATCCTGTTGTGTAATGTTTGGTAAGAGGGTGCAAGTTTGAGGATCAGTAAGGCGTGCACACCGTATGAAAGTCCTTTGAGACGAACGGCCACAAGTTGGTGATGGGAGGCTGAGGGAGTACGCCCCAAATCATCGCGATCGTATCGTATGTTATGTGGAAACAGTGCATAGAAGATAACTATAGAGTAGGCGCGTAGGGTGTCGTGAAGTTGCTGCGGAGAGAAGTTACCATCTGTCCTTCGGACTCTGCCAATAATAATCGTGACTGGCTCCTCAAGCAAGCACTCAGCAAGCATTGCAATGCAACTTGCATGCCGCGTGCGGGCAGGCGAACAGCAAATTTTGCTGAGCCGTTCCTCATTCCCCAATCTACTCGTCCTCGAGCAGATTACTTTAAACCTCTTCGTCCCAGGCCGTCTCCGACAACCTAGACAAGCCCCTCTCCAACTATGGTCTTCTCGCCCAGCACCTACCTCGTTTCGGCCGCGGTCGCCTGTGTGGCGCTGCAGATGCAGCAAGTGTCTGCTGGATCGCTCTACTACGGTGCCACAACCGTCACCAAAACCCAGAACGAGATCTCCGAAAAATCTCCGCTCTACGGTGGTGAAGTGGATGATCAGGACTGTGCCGTCCAGGTGACGATTGACCCGACGCTGCCCAACATCACCACCATTCTGCCCGAACCGGTGGAGTACCCGGATCTGTTGGCCAACCTGACCACGGCCCCTGCTGATCCTGTGTTCACCAAGGTGGGTGAGGCTGATTTGTCGGAGGAGTGCCCCACGAAGGAGGCCGACCTGGATGCCTACCTGGACTCGAAAGCTCCTTGGACCACCACCGGTACGCCCACCAAGACTGGTATCGACACCCCCAAGGACTGCGCCACTGGCTGGGATGATTCGACAATCCAGGCGAAGGTTGAGAAGAAACGCCGTCTCGAGGCCAACGGCAACGCCGACATCGCCAAGCTTGAGGCTTTCTTCGGCACCAAGATGGAGATGACGTTGAAGGACCTACCTACCCAGGGAGTCCACACGCCGTCGCCGTGGGCTGGCCCGTACTGGCCTACGTACCAGGACAGCATCAACGTGGTCTGGAGCCAGGGACAGCCCAGTCCCGCTGAGAAGTATGCTAAGGCGTTCGGCAAGGACGTGAAGGCCTTCATGGACGCTGTGTCCAAGAAGAACGGCATTGACTCGCAGAGTGGCCGTAAGAAGTGCACGTCGAACAACGACTGCTCCACCCTTACGGACGGCAGCGAGTGTGCCATCCGCGCTGGCAAGACGTCGGGCTACTGCATTCCCACGTGGTTCGGTATCTGCCACGCCTGGGCCCCGGCAGCCATTTTGGAGGCTGAGCCGAACTGCCCCGTTACGTACAACGGTGTGACGTTCCAGCCCATGGACCTCAAGGCTCTGGTTTCGTCGGTTTACGACGGTGCTCGTGTGGCTACGGTGTTCACAGGTGCCCGCTACAACGGTGGCGACGAAGCAACCGATGAGTACGGCCGTCACACCAACAACGCCTACCGTGACCTGAACCCTGCCTACTTCCACATTGCCAACGCTAACATCCTGGGCAAGCTGAACTCTACTTATGTTGCCGACGTGACGGCCGGTGCTGAGGTGTGGAACCAGCCCGTGCGTGGCTTCAAGGTGTACGAGCAGACTAAGATGTCGCTCAAGAAGGCTGCCCAGACCTTCTACGGCCTGCAGAAGTACCCGTGGAACTCTGCTGCCAAGAGCATCGTGTACGTCAAGTCGCGTCTCTCGTGGATCTTCGAGACGTACACGGACGGTGGCCTGGTGTCCTCGGGTGAGATCAACAAGTACACGACCGGCCAGTACTACTACTATCTTCTGGAGTTGGACTCCGCTGGTGAGATCATTGGCGGTGAGTGGGTGTACAACTCTGATGACGATCACCCGGACTTCCTGTGGCTGCCCAAGGCGAAGCCTGCTGCCAACACTGTGACCAGCATCGGTCTGAGTTACGCGGACGTCAGCATGCTACTGCAGAAGTCGGTGTCCTGCTCGGCTTAAGTAGCGACACCTTACATAGGGTGTGACTGGTAGATTTTGGCTGGCCCTCGCTGTTAGCAACGAAAATGAAAGCATGTAAGCATTTAAAGTCATCGTTAAAGTTCTCTTTTGACTGCTTATGCCACTAGAGTTGGTACCCCGATGCAGATATTTCCCACTCTATTTTAGACTTGAGCAAATGAGCGCGTATTTCTCAGGGCTACCGCGCTACGTTCGCGAATACCGACGTCTACGATTGCATGTCGTTCACAAGTTGCCCTCACTGGCAACCGGCGACATCAATCGCCTGGAACAACATCCCCGGGGTCACTTTGCTTATATTTTACGAGACAGACACGTGCCGGACTGGAGGCAAGTACTTCTACATCTCGGATGTTGCAGACGCCATTGGCACTCACACGTTCGATACCCCACAAGCAATCCGGTCGTTTATGTTCGGAAAAGACGTCGTTCATTTACGGCGAATGCAATCAGAGTTTGGAGCCGTCAAGAATAGCACAAATCTCTTGTACCGGTATTATCCCTTTATAATAAGTTCTTCTACTATTTTAGGATCTGCAGATACTCTAAAAGTAGATCCGCTGCCTTGAAGATGTAAAATGTGTTGAGATCACTCGCAACTCGCGCCTCCACTCTTGCAAACTTCTCAAATTTGAATTTGAAAAGTTAATAAGAATATATTGAAGCTAAGCAATTTACACGTTTTCACTAGGAATGTTCAGAATTGGAAGCAAAGCTGTGCAACATATTGCTCCGAACAAAGCACCCTTTTCAAATTAAGAATACGAATACTACCAAAATATAATAATACCATGGGTTTTACAGACTGTAAAATCAAAAATGCGGTCCACAATTAAAACACTCTTCGAATAAATCACTACTGATGGTATCGATGTCCAATAATGCCAGCACGTTCGACCCGATATTATTATACAGTTAACACCACTGGATACTGTTGAAATTTTAGTGAGTAAACCATAACAAAAAGTAGTTTGCGGCTTTTGGTTGTAAGCTTATTAACACGCTAATTGAAGCAATGTATGCTGTCTCCGGGGTTGGTTAAAGTATATGTAATACAGATCTCCAGCTTACAGTTGCTTCGAAGTAATTGTTAGCCGCATACATAATTGGTTGCGCAATAATCTGCTCTATTTCGCTTTTCAGGACAGTCCTCGCTTGTTGAGCCTCTTGCTGTGGAAAGGAGCATTGTGAGCTGCAGATCTCAAATCAAAAGCACCTTTACGTAAGTAGCTCGGCAAGCTGAGCGGCCGAATTGCGTTTTGTGTTGCGCTGACGAGCAGCTTTAGACACCGAGCGTCCTCTGCTTTAATAAACGCTATGTGGGCGTCACCGCCAGCCCGCGACAACAAGGAAATCCAGGAGCTCGCCGCAATGTACACAGTGCCCGTCTCACCGTTCCTATAACGCGGCCATTTCGTTTTCGCTCCACGTTGATGTTCGAGCCGCCAGTTAGTTTTTTCGGTGAGCATCGTCCTGTCGAACAGACACTACTTTTACATGATCTCGAAAGAGCTCGTGTTTTTTGTTTGCACACCTTGACCGTCAAGTTTGAAGTCCGCGTTACAAATGGACACGGTTTCTTCTTAGATTCTCGCCCAAGATGTGTGTTCAAAGTGTCACGCTCAAGTGGTGTACGTGTACAGCAAGTTGCTAAGCACTACAAATACTAATACATGTAGTAGCCAGGGAGCAGTAGAGCAGCTCGCTGTGCGAGGTTAACGCCCTGCTCATTCTCAATTCTGCTCGCTTGCGAGAGGATTACCTTAAGCCTTCGCTCCACCTCGACGAAAGTCTGCCATGGTGTACATGCCTCGCACCTACCTAATTTCCGCCGCTGTCGCCCTCGTGGCCACGCAGTCGCAGCAGACTGCTGCTAGCTCGCTGTACTATGCCCCCTTGACCACGTCCGGTACGGACGGCAAGATCAGTGGCAAGTTCCCAGCGCGCGGTGGTGAGGTCGCTGACCAGGACTGTGTCATCACGGTGGAGGTGGACCCGACGCTGCCGAACATCACGACTATCTCGACGGTGCCGGTGACGTACCCCGACCTGCTGGCCAACAAGACAACGGCACCAACTGAACCGGTATCCACGAAGGTTGGCAAGGCTATCGTGTCCAAGGAGATTCCTACCCAGGACGCGGACCAGGATGGCTATATCGGCAAGTCGACGACTACAGCATCGACGCCGGTCAACCCTCCGACAGCCAAGATGGGCACCACGACGCCCACCGGCAAGACCGATACAACCACGGGCACGGCTGCTCCGTCGAAGACCGTCACGACTACGCCGTCGGCGGGTATTGTGCAAGGACCTGGCAACGAGAAACCAAAGGACTGTGCAACCGGATGGGAGGAGGCCAAGCCCACCCGCAAGCTGCGCGACAGCGCCATGACCGGACGCGAGTTGGACGAGAAGCAGCAGACCAAGCGCAAGTTGGAGGCTAACTCGAACAAGGACATCGCCAAGCTTGAGGCTTACTTTGGAACGTCGATGGAAATGACGCTGAAGAACCTGCCTACCGAAGGCGTGCACACGCCGTCGCCGTGGCCCGGTCCGTACTGGCCGACTTACCAGGACAGCATCAACGTCCAGTGGAGTCAGGGTGAGCCCAGCCCTGCCGAGAAGTACGCCAAGGCGTTCGGTCTTGACGTGAAGGAGTTCATGGACAAGGTGTCCAAGGACAACGGTGTCGACTCCATGAGCAAGCGCCCTAAGTGCACGTCGGACAACGACTGCGCCTCTCTCAATGACGGTAGCGGCTGCGGTATTCGTGCTGGTCAGAGCTCGGGCTACTGCATCCCGACCTGGTACGGCATTTGCCACGCCTGGACACCTGCTTCAATGCTGGAGGCTGAGCCCAACTGCCCGGTGACTCACAACGGCGTGACGTTCCACCCGATGGACCTCAAGGCGCTGATCTCGGACATCTACGATGGTGCTTCGATCTCGACGGTGTTCACGGGCTCCCGCTTTAACGGTGGTAGCGACTCAACTGACGAGTACGGCCGCCACTCGAGCGCCGCTTATCGTGATCTGAACCCTGCCTTCTTCCACATCACCGCCGCCAACCTTTTGGGTAAGTTGAACGCCACATTCATCGCGGACGTCACCGCCGGTTCGGAGGTGTGGAACCAGCCTGTGCGTGGTTTCAAGGTGTACGAGCAGACTGAGATGTCGCTCGAGGAGGCTGCCCAGACCTTCTACGGTCTCGAGGAATACCCGTGGAACGCCGCGGCAAAGAGCATCGTGTACGTCAAGTCGCGTCTATCGTGGATCTTCGAGACGTACACGGACGGTGGCCTGGTGTCCTCCGGCCAAGTGGACCAATTCACGACGGGTGCCTACTACACGTACCTGCTTGAGATGGACGACGATGGAACCATCATCGGTGGTGAGTGGGTCTACGACTCGGACAACGACCACCCTGATTTCATTTGGTTCCCTAAGGAGAAGCCTGCTGCTGATACGGTGACCAGCATTGGCCTGAGCTACGCAGATGTGAGCATGCTACTTGCAAAGTCCGTGGCCTGCTCGGACTCTGCTTCTGCTTCAGGCTCGGCGGGTTCGGCTGGTTCGTCGCCCGCTTCAACTACAAGCTCGACCGCTGCCTCGACTTCGGGCTCGGCGACGAGCTCTGTATCTAGCACCACGGGTTCGACCACGGAGGCACCTACCACTAGCACAACTGGTTCCAGCGCGGGCAGCAACGCTGTCACCCCTACGGGAACGCCGGCTGCTACCTATGCTAGCACTGGTTCATCTGCTGTCACGACGGCGCCTGCCTCAAGTAACCAAGGCGGACATCAGAGAAACCATGGTGACGACCAGCACCACGGTGGTCACCACACCCAGCGAGACAACCAGCACCAGGGTGATGACAGCGACGACCACTACCGCCAGCAGCAGCAGCAGCAGCAGCAGGAGGGACAAGGTCAGCGTCAGTCGTATCAGTCCTACTTCCACTGGTGGTAAGCTCATTCAGATCGGTGCGGCGTGAGCTTGAGATCCATGTTTCGCCGGCATAGCAAGCGTGTCTTAGTTTTAAAAACAACTCAGCGAGTACTTGGCTTACTATGTCTATGAACTGCAATTGTGGTGCTAGAGTTTACAGCATATCGACTTGAGATGAACTTCAGACTTGGTGTCAAGATGTCGTTGTTCGCTGCGGGTCTTGAATGTCGCGCGCCAGCCTTGCTGCAACAACAAGCCCGTCGCTGGGGCTTCTCTGGGCGGCGCTGGTCTAGAGTTAGACTTCAGAAGTATGAATCGGGGCACAGTCCCGAAGTAGCAGCTTTTGAAACTACACCTTGGCCATTGAACCTACTAGTAGTAGTATTTGGCACCTTCCATGCTATACTGTATTCTGGCCGGTTGGGCTGTTTGTAGACGGACAATACTCGTGGTACCTACCAGCCAACAGCAATTGTGAATTCTGCAACACGACTGTCCTTCCACCTCGTCTGTGAACCAAATAACGTTGCTGCACCTGTTAGTTTGTACTAATGTTAAATTTTGTTGTTGAATTCAATGACGTCCACTTGAAGGCGTAGGTGCTGCAAACAGACTATCGCATTTTTACAACACACAAGCTGCGTGCGAAAGAAAGAGAATCAGCATTCGTTGGTGCCTTGAGCGTTATGTTTCTTCAAGAATTAAAGAATAAATGAAGTGCTATGTGGACTGTAATAAAGCTAGCCAAAAACGGGCAGTGAGAGTAAAAGCATTAGCTTTCGTGGGCTTTCCAAAGCTGCAGTAGCTCACAACCACGCTCAAACCAAACCATCACGTCGACGTTTATCCGTTTCCGGGTGGAATGGCACTAGCGCAGTAAATTTTACGTGCGCATTTAGCCGCAACTAGACGATGAAAAACGGGCATTAAGCCGGAGCCCGGTGGATTTTAGAGAGATCAGGTCCCTGCACGCATGCTGCACAAAATGATAGGAGTCGGGTACGTGTAGCACGAAGTATGCGACTATTCCAATAATAAAATAAGTAAACATGCCGCACCTGAAAAACTTTCTCTTTTAAAAGAAATTGTTTTTTTATCCAGGTATCTAAGCATTCCTCAGTTAACAGTACCTGCAGCTCCATCGAAAGCCAAAACCTGTCATCATGTACACGATCGCAAAACTGTCTTGAAGACTCTTCAAGACAGTTTTGTGAAGAGAGACTTGCTTGATCATAGAGCGACTCTATGTCACACAAATCGCACCTTCGAGATCATGCTCCCCGGCACAGTTCACTATAAATACTCTAGTGCCCACCGAAATGTACAAACCTGCTTACCCTTCATTCAGCCCAGTGTATTCTACTGGTCCCCGTTGGTCCTGCGTGCTAGCGGTATATGCATTATTCTACTGACAGCGCAAGCAAGGTCTCTCGAGTTTGCATCTATTTGGCATCAACAACGCTGCCTTTCCGATTGTGCTTCGTTCCACCTTTACCCAAACCGGAGAGTACAAGTAATGGCCGAGAAACGACAAGCGCGGGATTTCCTGTTTACCACAAAGCTTGCTTCTTCTCAACAAGACACTTCGAAGTAGATTTTATTTTCTATCTCGGAGGTTCGGAGTCGCAGAGTATGCGGGTGCATTACTGGTAGATGAGACTACGCTGTATATACTTGGGTTCTCAGGTTTATTGATTGACCACCACATTCACCCTACCGCGTGGTTTCGAGCGTGCTTGTGTGTGTGCTAGATCTGTTTGCTGTGCTCAAGACCCAAGGAAGAAAGACCTGTGGCCGAGCTGGCCCACACCATCCTGAGATCTCTCTTGGGCAGGGCCCTTCCAAGTTGGCGTTGGAATCCAGCCCGGCGCAGCGAATCAGAGTTCATAAACCTAACAAATGGACAAGATTACTTTTATGGACGAGCGTTCAATTGCAAGTGTGATGGCAGTTGGGGAACAGGGGACATGTTACCCCTATGAACGCATGACAAGTTCTACGAGCTCCTCATTCTCCAATCTACTCGCTTGCGAGAAGATTACTTCACACCTCCTTCCAACTCGAAACCATGGTGTACACGCCCCGTGCTTACCTCGTCTCCGCCGCCGTTGCCCTTGTGGCGATGCAGTCGCAGCAAACTGCTGCTAGCTCGCTGTTCTACGACCCCGAGACCATTTCCGGCACGGAAGGCAAGATCAGTGGCAAGTTCCCTGCGCGTGGTGCTGACGTTGCTGACCAGGACTGCACCTTCACGGTGGAAGTGGACCCGACGCTGCCGGACAT